TTACTCTATCTTCAGAGGGGCATGCCGTCTGTACCTTTACAGTCGGCTACTCTCCATTGAGTTTTTTACTCTCCATAGGGGCATGCCGTCTGGACATATAGTCGGCTACTCTCCATAAAAGAGGGTCGACTGGTTCCAAACACACGGCCACCCCCCTTAACTAAAAATGATCAGGGCCTGGCCGACCCTGTGCCTAACAGGCGGCTACCCTCCTTCTACTTAGCACCTACGTTCACTAAGAACTAACCAAGGCCACAGGCCGAATGATCAGACCAGGCGCCAAGCCAACTGATCAAATCTTCAAAACTAATACGACCTGTCCCAACATCATAGCAGGCGTCCGGCGGCATCCCTCCGGATGAAATTCGTCGCAGAGAGCAGCTCCCTTTTGGGTGGAACATTGCTCTATAAACTAATTACACGGCACCTATACGACTGTCCCCAAGGGCAACCACGTAGCCGTTTTTGAGACAAGGATAACTCTATCACTAACCAAACCAGTGGTAGTAGTTGACATCTGAGTCAGATGACCGCCTGTATTACTTGGGATAAATGCAGGGGGTACCTCTTGAGTTAATAGCCAACAAACATTGGCGAATCAAAAGGTTCAGTCGGCCTCCGCCGCCTGGTACCTTTACTACTCAAGCAGGAGTGACGGCGACTGAGTAACACCAAAGTTAACTCATAGTCACTCTCTCAAACTTAGTATGGAGCCTAAAAGGTATGAGTCGCCCGCCTGTTTTTAGCAAACAGGGGCTCTCAACCACTACTCCTGCTAGGTTAACAACCTATGAATTAAAAGCCAACAAACATTGGCGAATAAAAGGGAACAACCGGTACCCACCGCTTGATACCTCTACTACTCAGTTACTTGGCGACTAGGTAACAATCATGTTTACTTGGTCAAACCACTTTCCTACTTGGTTAATTTTACAAATGACAGGACCGCCTGCTTAAAGGGGATCCAGTCTTTAAAATGGTTCGAATACCGATTGGATAAATGGTTGACTGATCGTCTAGCCTGGAAACAGACAACCAGTCGTCCAGGGGCATAGGCGGCGTGACTAACTATCCGTACCTGTCTGCAACTATCGGCCATGTAAAACAGTCGGTATAGTGTACAATTGGATATCAGAATACTTGAACAAATTTGAAGCAAAACAAAAAATTCATTAAAAAGAAGCCGGTCATTAAAGACCGGCAAAATATTCAGAGCCCCGGCCCCCTAGCCGGGTAAATACAAAACAAACGGCACGCAGGCCGTGGAAAGAAGACATAAAACTTAAGAAGGGGGCAGATCTTCAATATTAGCAGTTGCCGCCTGGTCAGCACTCTTCTTGCTGGACTCGGCTTCAGCTGCATCCTTTTTTGATGCATTACCCCCAAGCGGCACAAGCGCCACTACTGGCTCCTCCTCCTCCAACGCCTCCTCCAACGCCTCTTCCTCAGCAGCCGCCAGGATCTCTTGATTATATATATCAGAACACTGGCGGTACGTTTTTTCCCATGAGGCAAAGTCGGCATTGGGGAAGAGGCGGCCCCAAGTCATGCGCTGGATTTGAGCAGAGTCTTCCATCATCTCCCGGACCAGCTCTTTCTTTTCTTGCTCGGCCTTTTCCGAGAGCTCCTGAGTAAGACTCTTCTCCTGGGTCACCAGGCGTACCTTTACGCTCGCCAAGGATTTCTCCAAGGTTTCGTATGAGGACATCTTTTGGCGAAGAGGTCTCAGCTCGGCCTTGAGATTGTTGATGGTCGCCTCCAGCTCGCTATTCCTCTTCTGGGCCGCCTCTAAGTGAGCTCGGATAGGGGCGGTAGCCTGCGCCTGATAATAAAGAATATCAATGGTCAGAACTTCATTTTGGGCAATTTGAAACATTGCCTTATCACAGTCAGAGGCGGCCATAGCTTTTGCAGCCTTTACCTCTTTGTTCTTCCGGTCAAGCGGCTTGCGAAGGCCGTTCACTCGGAGCAGGGCCTAAGTAAAAAGGGGAACAGGCGTCAGTTTCCAAACAAAAAAGAAAACATGCGTCCTGGAATTCAAATACTCAAAAATATGCTAAGTATACCTCAGCAAGGACCCCTGCAATCCCGTCTAGGTCAAGGGTGCCAACACCTCTGACCGCCTCCCTTTCAGCTGGAGGAACGACCTTGATCATAGACTTGGCCACCTCGACCAAGTCAGGCCCCTGAGGGCCGGCTGCATCAAGCATAAACAAACGGATTAGACCTAGTAAAACAGGGAGCAAGTCTAAAATTTACAAGGACAACTTCATACTTCTAGGCGGCCCAGCTGGAGTTTTAGAAGAAGTGGCCGGCTGTTTCTCAGCCGCCGCATGTTTCCTGGCAGAACCAGGAGAGCTCGCAACAGTCGTCCTCCGGGCCTTGGGGTCCGGCTGTTGGGAAGAAGAAGCTCTTGGAGCGCCCGTCTAAAAAAGAAGAAGTTAGTATATGCATAAACAACTCCAAAAAGAGGGTGAAAGGTTCGAAGCCCACCAAGGGTGCCCCCTTGTTGGGGGAGTCGGTTGAAGCTTGTTGCATGACGGAGGCCCGCAACATGGCCGCCGCAGTCTTGGAGGCGGTAATTTTGCTCATGGCGTCCGCTGCAAAAACAAACAGCAAAGTTAATAAAAGTCATAACAAGAAATGCATGGAACAACAGAGTATTCGACAGGCCGGCTACCTCTTGAGCACCGACTGCTGAGGCCACAGGCGGCCAAAAAGTACTCGTCGTAGAGCCATTTGAAGCTCGGGACGCAGTGCAGGGGTACTTGCTCTCGTACCCCTGAAGTAGAGTTCACCTTCGACTCTACTTTGAAGAGTCCTTTATCTAGGATCTCTTTCTTAGCCTTGGGGGGAACAGGCGGCATGCTGCGGCCGCCTGCAAGAAGGGGCGGATTCCTGTTCCACCTGTTGAAGCGCTTGTTCAGCTCTGTGTCTGAACTCTCAATGATGAGGAAGGTGCTCCGCCAGTCCTTCCATTTGTTTGCTTTACCTCTCGTCATGAGGTAGCCCTTGTGGCTTGTCAATTGATACCAGCCGGTACCGCCTGCCTTAGGGGTCCGGCTGAGGTAGTTCATGTGGGCGAAAGCCTCGAATCTTGGCTCCACCCCGTGCAGTTCGCACCCGGCCACATAGCCGAGTACATTGACCCAGGAGTTCGGGGCTAACTGCCATAACCCCAACTCATACCCATCCAAGATCCGCTGAACAGCCGGATGTAGTGGGAAGCGCAGCCCAGCCTTGATGGCCGCCTCGTAGCAGCCAAAGCAGGCGCTATCATAACTGGTACCAGCCGGCCAGACGACTGTGTCTTCTGGATCCGGCACAAACACTAAAAAGTCGGGGCCCATTGTGTGGTTTGCGATAAAGCTCTCCACTTTCTCTTGCATGGCCGTGATCCGGCCCCGAGGTACCGTGCAGTAGTAGGGGGTATTTTGCTCTCGGTAAGAGGCGGATGGCTCCGCCCAATTGTCCCCCTTCTCAACTGCGTGAGAAAGCCTCGCCTCTTGCAGGCGACTGTTTTTCTCTTCTGTGTCCAAAGAAGCATGGCCAGAAGAGCTAGACTCGGAATCGTCCTCTGACGAGTCCGAAGAGGACGACTCCTCCCCTCTCCCGGAGGGGCCCGCCTCCTCTCCTTTAAAAGGAGCAGGAGAGAATGAAGAATTGTCAACTGTAAAAAGGGAAGGGGTCACTTTGACTCCTCTCTCAGAATTGCCGGCTTTCAAGCCGCTTTGTTTCACTTCCGCATCTGGCGCCTGGTCAGATGTTTCACTAATCGGCACCCTGTGGGAGGAGCCGTCTGAATTTGAGATCCTGGCAGTCTTTTTTGTTCTGGCCATCATGCTCTGCATAGACACAGATACAGTCGGACTTTGTATAAAGGGCAAAGATGGGTCCAGAAAAGGGCAGGCGGCACTCCTAGTCCTAGATTCAGCCGTCCCCGGTGACCGGCTGATCACTAACCTAGGTCGTGTCGTGTGCTTCCGTGGTGCCATTTCAAAAAAGAATAAAGAGAAAATTAAGAGTAAGAGAATCGACGGTTACCTGAACGAGTGACGGTTGATGAAGTTCTGAAAATCCTTTGCAGTCGGCTTGTCAGAGCAGGCGGTAGGCAGAAAGAGTCCAAAATGTCAGAGCAAGTTCAGGGGTCCGAATGTTCTCTCACAAAGTTCTCAAGTGTGAATGACTGAAGTCAACACTCCCTTATATATAGGTGAAGTGAGAAGGCGAAGGGTCACTTCCAGAATTCATAATTTGGGCGGGAGAATCTCTCGGCCTTTCGCCGAGTGACACCTGTAGCAGGTTGTCGCCTGTTACAGTGCGACACCTGTCACAGGTAACACGTGACCAGTCACGTGCCACCTGTGAGGGGCAAATGATTAGGGGATTTTGCTCCCACCAATCGGAATGCGCCACGTGGGCCAATCAGGTCCTGCCAAGTGTCCCTCAGTTGGAACTGTCAGGCTTGCCACGTGGCACCCGCTTATTTGTCCACCTTGGACCTATTATGTCATGACACGTGGCATACTCCATGCCTAATGGAGAAACCGGCCACCCAGGCCCAACTTCCGAGGGAAGCCCAATCAGCCCTAGGTTAACCTAAACCTAGGATTAGCACGTTTCCCAAGGTTATAAATACCTCCCTTAATCCTCATTAAGGGAGATTACATGATTAACAGGCTGATCACGCTAAAAAAGCAGATTACCTACTTTAAACACTCTCACCTAGAGAGACCCAATCACTTTAATTTCCGCATTAATTACTCCTTAAACAAGTACTAACTTGACCGTTGGAGGCGGAGCTCCCACCACCAGGAGTCTCCGTTGTTTTGCAGGTACAGGCGTCCGGTTCCAGTCTCGGAATTGTAACTCTCCCGCAGGACATCAGAAAACCCCGAAACACTAAGTATCTGCAATTATACTTCTATGATGGTCAGCATGAAGCAGAAAATAGAGTTGGCTGTTTTCCTCAAATAAGAGAAGATGTGGTCAGCATTCTTATGCAGGTATCTGAAAAGAACCCGTATGCTACCTTCTTTCGATCTTTACGAGACAGGGTTATTGATGCAGATACACAAATTGTTCTTAATCGAAGTTCAGTACTTGATCAGCGCGTTTATAATGCTCCTGTTGTTGATGATGTTGCTGTAATCTGGCCAGAAAACTATTCATCAAGCGAAAGCTTAGGCCCGCATATATTAGTCAATGGAAGATCTGATGAGTCTCACCGAATTTATCATAGTTATGGTTGCTATGATCCTCTTCAGTATTCGTTATTATTTCCTCGAGGAGAATGTGGCTGGACTCAAGGCCTTAAAAAAAATTCTCATCCAAGTAGGAGAACAACTGATTCGATTCCAGATCCTATAATGTCGTGCGATGTGCATACTACAGAAGATTTATTAAGTCAGGAAGAAGCCCGTAAGTATTTTAGGTTTTATAAGTCTTACTTCTTTTTTAAAGCATGAGCTTGGTTCTACTTTTTAAAAGGTTTTTAGAACAGTTTCGTATGTCTTGTTGCATGTTTGTAATATGGGCTTCATATTGTTGTTTTTTTAAACTCTTTTTCCCAATTTTAAGTACAGGTTCAAAGAGGAAAAATACTAAAGTAGACAAGTTCATTTCTGCTAGGGAATACTATGCATACAAGCTGCAAATCCGATCAAACAGCATGTTGCTGCGAGCAGGTAGATGATATCAGTAGTACATAGTAGATATATATGTAAAGATTGAAAATACCAGGCTTGATTACTTTAGAAACAACCAGGAAATAATAAGGGCTGATTTGTATAAAGTATATTGGATTCACTAGATTCTGGAGAAACTCTTGGTCATAATGTTGGTCGGAGAGTTATATTGCCTCCTACCTATATTGGTGGTCCTCGGGATATCAAGAAAAGGTACTTAAATGCTATGGCTTTAGTACAACGGTTTGGTAAACCAGATCTTTTTGTAACGATTACATGTAATGCCAATTGGCTTGAAATCAAGGCTAAGCTAACAACTGGAGAGATAGCCCAAGATAGGCCAAACTTAGTTGCTAGAATTTTTAGATCGAAGTTTCTTGCGCTGAAAAAGGAAATTATGGAAAAGAAAGTATTTGGGGAAGTCGCTGCGATGGTATATGTTGTCGAGTTCCAAAAAAGAGGTTTGCCGCATGCTCATTTCTTAATTGTTTTAAAACCTGAGTACAAGCTGAAATCCCCTGCTGACTATGACAGATTTGTTTGTGCTAAAATACCTGCTGAAACTAATCTTACCTTGAGAAGAATTGTGTTGGCCCATATGATGCATGGTCCTTGTGGTATATTGAATCCTGAATGCCCATGTATGCGGAAGAATGGCATAAAGCTCAGTTGTAAGAACAAGTACCCTAAGCAGTTTTTCGATGAAACAACTAACAATAAGGATGGTTATCCAATCTATTGTAGAAGAGAAATCGGGGAAAAGGTAATGATAAGAAATGCAGAATTAGATAATCAGTGGGTTATTCCTTATAATTCGTATCTTTCTTTGCTATTTGATTGTCACTTGAACGTTGAAGTATGTTCGACAATTAAAGCTGTAAAATACCTATACAATATGTTTATAAGGGCCATGATCGGATTTTGTACAATGTTGTTCCTTCTAACAACATAGTAGATGAGATTCAGCAATACCAGTCAGGTAGATGGGTATCTCCTTGTGAAGCTGCATGGAGAATATTCAGTTTCGATCTATTTGAAATGCATCCTGCAGTTCTACCTTTACAGGTTCATTTTCCTGATATGCAGACTGTTCATGTTTTCCCTCATGAAAGGCTTCGCGCTGTTGTTTCAGATTAAAAACGGTCAAGAACTCAATTAACTGAATTTTTTGCAATGAATGCCGCTTCCGAACTTGGGCTGGGATATCTATATGGTGAATTCTGTGAACACTACACATGGCATCAAGGTGACAAAAAGTGGAAACAAAGAGTTCATAATCGAATTTCAGTTGGTAGATTAGCATTTGTCTTTCCTGCAGAAGGTGAGCGGTTCTTCCTTAGACTTTTGTTGCTAAATGTAAGGAGTCCTAAATCGTTTGAGGATTTACGTACTGTCAACGTTCGGCTGTACTCAACTTTTCAGGAAGGTGCTCTGAAGCTTGGTCTTATAGAAGATGATGATGCAGCTAATTTAACTATGTCTGAAGCATGTGAAACTCATATGCCTTCTGCTTTACGGCGTCTTTTTGCCACAGTTTTAATGTTTTGTCAGCCACGTGATCCTGCTGCTTTATAGAATGCCTATTATACTTTTCTTGCTAAAGATTTTTCTCACAAATTTCCGAATCAAATGGTGAGAATACAACAGCTTACTGTCAAATCAGGGAACAACATCTTGAAGCAATGGGCAAATCTCTTTCTTTTTTTGGTTTAGACCATTTGATTTCTCAAGTTAGCGATGAGTTCAGACGTACCAAAGATATTGTTGATGCCCTTGATGCACCAATCCTAGAGGAATGCTTAGGTTGTCGTTCAAAGCTAAACTTTGCATAGAATACTACTTTTGAGTGTATTATAGATCATGTGATGCAGCAAAAAGGTGGTGCGTTTTTCATTGATGGTCCTGGAGGTACATGTAAGACTTTTCTGTAGAACGCTCTATATGCAGAAATAATACAGATGAACAAGATCGTGTTACCTACAGCTACATCAGGCATTGCTGCAGCAAATATTCCTTCTAGTCGAACTGCTCATTCTCGATTCAAGATTCCAATTGATAGTGATAGTTCATTGATCTGCGATGTCCCAAAGAAAGGTAGCTTAGCAACACTTTTGAAAAGAAACTGCATTGATTATATGGGATGAGGCTTCTATGGCTAAGAAGCAAAATCTAGAATCTTTAGATCTGTTGCTGCAGGATGTATGTGGGAATAAGGCAATATTTGGAGGAAAAATTGTTGTCTTCGGAGGGGATTTTAGGCAAGTGTTGCATGTAGTTCCTCAAAAAACTATGAAAGAAGCAGTAGAAGCAAGCATTGTAAACTCTTATCTGTGGTCAAAGTTAATCAAGTTCAGGCTAACAGAAAATATTCGAGCAAGAGAAGATCCTACATATGCTGCTTTTTTGCTTGCTTTAGGCAATGGCAAGTTGCAACAGACAGAAAATGCTTTCATTGAGGTACCAGAACAGATTGTGGAATCGACTACCAATGTCACGGAATTAGTGAGTATTGTTACAGAAAGAACATTCCCAGAAATGATCTATGGTCACTTTAATAGTCAGGTTTTCACTAAAAAGGCAATCCCCACACCCATGAATGATGACGTGGATTCGGTTAATACATTCATGATAGAGAAATTCCCTGGTCAGGCTGTTACATACAAGAGCTTTGATGCCGTGTTAAATGACATTTGTAGTATATATCCTACAGAATTTATCATTAAACTATGTCCCGGAGGAATGAGCCCACATGAACTCGTGTTAAAGGAAAATTGCCCAGTGATACTGTTACGAAATTTGCTGCCATCTTCGGGTTTATGCAATGGTAGAAGGCTTATCTGCAAGAAATTTTTCCCCAACGTGATTCAGTGTGCAATAGCAGTTGGCCACTATAAAGGGGAAGAAGTATTCATACACAGAATTAACTTAAGGCCTTCTAGCTCAGTAAACTATTCATTTATGTTTGAAAGGAAGCAGTTCCCTATAAAGTTGAGTTTTGCAATGACAATTAATAAGTCACAAGGACAGACTCTAAGCCAAGTATCCATTTATCTTCCATGACCATGTTTCTCCCATGGGCAACTTTATGTTGCATTGTCACGAGCCAAGAAAGCAAAAGATGTTCGTGTCTTTACAACAGGCAGTACAACTATGTGTTCTGCAAACGCAGTAAAGAATGTGATGTCGTATGAACTTTTATATCTAGCAGGCATAATCTGAAAGGAAGGTTCGGCAATATGACTAATTTGCTCCGTTGCTGAAGGCAACTGCAAAACGATCTAGGCTGCTGTTAATGAACCTTTATAGGTCAGCTGGTCTTTCCTTTTATGTAGCTATATAGTTAGTTATTAGATTTAGTACTACTCAACCTGTATTTCCTTTCCTGCAGTTTGGTATAACTTCTTACCTTATGATGCTATACCTTACACAGTACATTTATACTTACATTAGAGCAATTGCCAGCACATTATTCTTTTCGTGAAACACGATAGACAATGAACTTGATTATTGCTTATATGGGTGTTTTAGATGTTAACAATTAAGTTTTTTGCTTTTAGCTTCCTCGAATTTGTAATGTGGATTTTTTTTACCTTTTTTTTACCCCTCTTTTTTGTCTGTGCTTGTATGAATGTTTAATGATTTTTAACAAGTACATATTCTCTTCTCCTTATTATGTCAAATTTGGTGATTAGTTCAAATGGGTTTGGTGAATTAATAAGTGAATTGAATATATTAGTATGTTAATTATAGTATAGTTGATTTGTAGCAGTTCCTCAATTTGTGGGTTGTTTAGCTCTAACATATTCCTGAATGTTATAAGTTTTTCCTTTTTTACAAATATTTTTTTTGCATTCCCCACTTTTGCAGTACTATAGATTTAGAATTTAATATGAAAAATTCTAACAGATTGCATATATTCTGAAAATGCAGCAACTCCAATTTTGTTCAACAATGTTGATTTGTTTCCATCATATTTTTGGATCCCTTTGCTACCAAGACAGTGTAAGTTGCCCATCTTCCTTTTATTGAATAGCTAAGAAAGTATACTTCTTGTGCTTATTTTGCATTAATATGTTATACTTAGTATGGTCTAAGCAGCGAATGTACTTACATACTGATGTACCACAGTAATCAAGACAACTTGCTATACATGTCAAGCATTGTTCTATTTTCACAATCTTGCTTGTAATTCTGTAGTGCCTTTAAATGATACAGTCTTCAAGCTTTTACTTAAATTACTCTGTTTCTTAAACTCAGGTTATACTTACTGCTGTATGCTTCACCGAGTTAGCTTTTCATGGGTGAGGTGTATGCTACAGTCTGAAGTTGGGTTGTATACTTCCATGATTTGTAAGGTAAAGCAGTTATAAACCATCTATTATTAGTTTAACAACTATTTTACTATAGATGTTGTGTATAAGTAGTAAAATTAGAATGCTTTTTCCGATTCACACATTTTAGTCTCCTTTTTAACAAAATAAAACAACAAATAATTAGTTACCATTTCGAAGAATGTGTTTAATATGCCGTGTTATATTTAGTTTCTTACTTATAGTTCTAATAGCTTGTTTTGATCTTAGAGTCCTTTGGTATCTTTAATAAAATATAAATGGGCTTAGTTGACTCTAGCCCACAACAAAAGTACTAAGAAGACATGAAAAATTACCTTATTTCAAAATTGGAATACACTTTGTATTATATTATAAAGTAAGTAGCAAGTACAAGTCAACTTCACTATTCACAGTAAACAAATTCTTTTAGAATATTACACAGCTGTACTCCTCTTTCACTTTAACCACAAATAAATCGAAAATTTTACATTACAAGTACTTGAAAATTATCTTAGCCATAACAAGTATTCCCTTTTTACTTAATAAATAAGCAAAAATTGTACTTAGCAATAACATTATGCTTTCTAGCTGTACCCAATCATCTTAAACCACAGTAGCTTCTTAATCTTAGCCGTTCATTCGTGGGAAAAGGTAGGTTAACTTCTTCCCCTGCTTTAGCTATAAATACTAAAGAAGTTCTCACTTTTTGGAGCAAATCTTTTTATTCCCTGCCTTATCATTCTTAGTCATGGTATATTCTTCTCCTTTTATGGAAAATCTTTATGCTGCTTTCATGTTAACAGTTGTTATTGTTATTCAAAGATTAAACTAAATATCAGTGCATGAAAATCTATCTTAATAAAGCAACGCTTTTTTTTTTATGTTGTGTGTATGATTTGCAATTCTGTTTTATTAAACGTCTGGAATTAATGATACCCTATTTGCTCTAACTGCATGTACATCTTGAGGCCTACCTTTTATACTTGCACTAATTTCTGAAATAAGATACACTTTTGCTTTCATTAGCCTTATAGACTGTTGCTAAAATGTATATACTTTCCAAAAAAAAAAATTAATGAATGTCAGAACAACCTTCTAAATTTGCTCATTATAAAACATATCATTGTCTATTATCGTCTTCTTATAATTTTTACATGCACTGGTTTACTGTTTACAACTTTCACCTCTTGAACTTCAGCATAGCTTACTGCTAGATCTATATGTACATTATATTACATATATTATTTAGCTATACTTACTATTTCGCATATCATGTATTGTAGACCATGAACACACCTCCAAAAATGAAGTTGGAACCAGTTTACTTAGATGAGCTAACTACTCAAAGTAAGGACTACAAGGTGAAAGTCACAGTCGCTGAAAAGGGAAGAGTCAACCTTCCCCTAAAAAACCTGGTGTGATCTTTCAACCTATCATCTTAGAGGACGAAAAGGTGATTATACTTTGCTATATGTTCGTTCTTGTAAAAAATATAAAATCAGCTGAAATTCAACTACAGTGCATTCAACCTTCTACTAGATATAGAATATCATGCAGACTGCTTTCTTTGACTGAAATAGTACAAATTTTAATATACATAAGTATATAAAACCTGCTCACCATAAAGATGTATAACCAATTGTACATTTCCAATCATTTTGTACATTTTCATCTATCTCTTATGTGTTATGTGTTTACCAGTACAAATAATAGATTGTGTTTCTTGTACTTTGCCACCTCTATGTATCTTTATGACATAACCCTAACACTGATTACTGTCCTATCTATTTAACCAGAAAAACAAAATGCGATGTGTTTTATTTGGAGATCAAATCGAAGCATATGAAGAGGTTCTCAAGCCATCTGGTCAATACGAAATTTCTAAGGCTCCTATAACAGCTGTAGATGATCAATATAAATTCAACTTGGAAGAACTTCCACACCAGATGACGTTGGCCACCAGACTATTATTCAGCGTTTAAATCCTGAGAGCGGTCCAATCGAACCGAAGTATCAGCCCTCTGTCAACTATTCCAAGATCACCTGATCCAAATGGAAGATGTGGTATCTTAGATTTTACATGTTGAATGCACATTCATACTTTGATTCCCAGCTTACAAACTTGTCTACTTTCCATGCTATTTACTAATGTTCCTTTGCCAAAATCAGATATAGTTGGTGTAGTTCTCTTTGTTAAAGAAGTGCCAAGGATGATACCTAATGCAAGAGGTCGTGACAGTCCAGTTCGAGAAGTATCTATCACTGACACTAGGTAAATTTACAGTTTCACAAGATAGTCTACATTTGACCCCTTATCATAGTAGATTGTCTTAGATAACTTACAACATTCATTATACTGCCAACCAGCCAAGACCATGCTATGACAATCTCTACATGGAAAGATCTTACTGGGAAACCTTGTGATGCTATGAGCAACTGGGCTGAAAAATTCAATGTTGTAGGATTTACTACACTCAAAACCCGTCACACAAGAGGTGAAGTTAGTAGCATTAGTGCATATATCAAAATTACCATTGCCTATAAAATATTGGATTACTTAACTGCTTGTTGACATGATTCACTTTGAATACAACAATGTCAACTAGAATAATCATGAACCCTAAGGGAGCAAGGGCAGATATGCTTCGAGAATGGTACTTATTGTGTTTTATTTATTATAGGTGTAGAATTAAGACACAATTAAATCACCACCTAATTGCCACCTATTTTTCTGTTTCAGGTGTAAATTATATCAGCATGTATTGCTAGACAGACAGGAGAGAATTCTGAACGTGAGATATCCAAGCACAGGTAAGAAAGTCGTGACAATAGCTGAACTAAGGAGAAAAAAGGTTAAACCTTTTTAAAGTCATTGCTAATTTTACTTTTTTTTTCTTTACAGTGCATATTATTCCATTAGAGTATTGGTGTTAAGCGCTATCTAATATGTGATTGCTTACATTAATTCAGGCAGTTAATGCAACTCCAGATGAAATTGCTTGGATCAAGGTTACAATACCAGAAGCTGATCTACAAAGAGTGAATGCCTATATAGGTTGCCTTGGTTGTGGAAAACGGACACATCTGGCACTTGGGACTCGCTTTCCCTGCATTTCTTGCAAGAAAGGAGACATTGTAGCTGTACACAAGTATAGTGTTAACACTTAGCCTCGCATTATTTCCCTTACAGTAAAATATAATACACGAAATCACTTCATTTTTGTGTCCACATCTGCAGAGTTACATTCAAGTTTGAAGCTGTTGATGACACCGGCACAATGTCATTTACAACTTTCACTGATGATACGGAAAAACTTTTCTGAAGGACAGCAACAGAAATCTGGGATATCAAAGCCACTGTAAGAAATTCTGCTACTGCAACCACCTGTGCCTTTTTACAAGTTCTACGTACTCAAATGTGTCTACACTTATATATGATAACATAAGTAGATATAGTATACATTTCACATTTAATACGCTAATCTGTATCACACAAAACCTTAAGTGTTTGTTACAGCTGCTTATGAAAGATATACATTTTTTTAAGTTCATGTTTCAATCATTACAATAAATAATGTATAGATTACTCATAGCATCTATAATACTTAAATGATACCTTTTGCTGTCTTAGGTGAATTTCGAAGCTTTTAAGGTTGTCCAAGCAATACTAGCAACAAAGCCTTTCTTCATTCAGGTAACTCCCACTCTGGAGTTAGCTAGGAATAGCGTTCTCTTATGGACTCTAAAGACTGTTGAGGTAGAAGATGCAGAACCACAAGGCCAGGTTCTAGGCTCATCGTCTTTGCAGCTTAACAAAGAACAACCTGCCTTTGAAACGGATAAGAAATACACAACATACCGACCACTGATGCAAGAGAGTCCAGCTTCTGCCTGCACTAAGGCTCATGGCAAAGGACTCGCTATTTCTGACCCAGAGGTAACTGTTGATTACAATCAGGACAACACAGAGGCAAGTGATAAGGTCCTTGCTGAAATTGCTCAGTTTCATGAATTCAAGCTAGCTTCTGAAGCATTCGATGCAGATTGTTTCGATATTCCAGTATAGCAATCAGGCAAAGGGATTACCATTTCAGAATCAGCAGCACCAATTGCTAAACTCCCTACATGGAACAAGCTCGCTTGCACACGCAGCAATGTCAAGAACAAACAGGCAATGGCTGTTGGTGAAATTATGGAATCAGATGATGAAGATCAGGGTCCAAGGAAGAAACTCAGAACAACTCTATTCAAAGACATTTCAGAGAAAGACAGTCTAGAAGACAAAGAAACAGCTTGAAGCCTCCTTGATAGACCATAAACAAAGGCAGCATAAAAAATCTTAGCGTACACTAGCTTTTGCTATTAAAGTGGTGGTAGTAAACTATTATTACGTAGTAATGCCTTGCATAATCTGAAGTATCTTTTGAATGTTTAGAAGGAACATTTTGGGTATCTTATGTTCCCTGTAAACATCAAGTATTGTATATAGTGCTAGAAATATGCAGTAGTGTCTACTCTAGAATAATATCTAGGAGAAAGTACTGTAGTAGAACTGCAAACTTTTGGCATGCACATAGAAGTGCTAATCTACCTATAAACTTTTGGCATGCACATAGAAGTGCTAATCTACCTATGATGTAACATCTTGTATCCTTAGGATACTTATCTATAATATATGAAGTATGTTCTTATAACTTGCTACTTTGAGTTTAGAATTAAAGTTAGTAGATTGTCTTTCAATGTTACAGAATATACTCTACAATACAAGTAAAGCCTTTGCAAAATTAATTCCTTCCCTTTTTCACATCTAAACACTTATCAGACTTTTACACTTCTTAGATTTCTACTTGAAGAATGTTTTTATTTTTAAAAAAAGGATAGCTGCATGCTTTATTCTTGTCTTTAAGAAGTAGTGTTACTACCCATATTGTCCATGGTCTCTTTAGTAAAGTAGTAACCTTGAATTTATGAATTCAGGTTCGTCCAAAAACAAGGGTATCAAACAGTCCGACCAAACAAACAACGCACCAAGGAAACTTCGACTCCTCTGCAGGACATAAAATCAGTCTGTCTCAACTTAAGGTGTATTATGCTTTTTTCTACATGAACCATCTTTATACCTGAAACTACTATACTTATACGCTCACAAATTTTTTACGTGCACATTCACTAATAACTGCAGGAACTTATAATGTTGTCAATGCATATCCTTTCTAATGACATAAGGCATAAATTGTTATATACTTACTGCCTATAACAATAAAACATGTATTGCTTCAGAAAACAATCTTAATTAAATGGTGCAATACAATAGCCAAAACCTACAAGGCTTAATAAACTAACTGGTGCTTTATATAAGAGTTCAGTCACAATCGAAACCTAATGACCTATTCCATACCATAAATACACCACAGTAGTACATAAAAACAACATTTATCAGCTACATTTTATTATACCTACAATATCTTTATTACAAGCTAATTAACCAGCCAAGCTTAACTTGGTGCAAGAAGAAATTCAAATAAAGGAGGATATCCTTCACGATAAACCACAAACATTCCTACACCACTAATAATACACTGATCCTCATAAAACATTTGAACACCATTTCTTAACGAGCAACCAACAATTACATTCCTTTGCATGGCTATATGTAGTTCTACACACCATTGCTTAAGTCTGTGCCGTATCAAAACAACACTGCAAGGTGGCATCTGTTGAAGATAAATACTTGCAAAGGACACAGGGACAATCTGCACAAAACATCATTTAAAAACAGTAGGTCACATTAAAAACTCATACAACTCTGCCTTTAAAGGAAAGAAAAGAGAAAAAAAATCACATACAAGACTTCCTTCCCTAAGTTATGGAGCACAAAATTTACACTTAAACGATGGATACGAACATCTTTGCTGCATTAAAGATAAATGAGCATCAAGCTCTAAATTGCTCAATGGGAGCATCCTGTCAGGTATAGCAGCTCTGGTTATTACTTCATGTACATGCGTTTTTTCATGACCATGATGAGCAAATGTTCTGGTATGCCATATACCATGTCCTTTGAAGTACATTATTAGCGTATCTCTAACCTTAATATCATTATCTGATATAAAGTTTCCCCACCCCCTGCCCATACGCATATCAGTAATTCCGTTAACATTAGTAAATCTAACAATAATGATCTTCCATGATAGACCTCCCATACGACGAAATACTTTTCATTCTTCACCTTCAATAGCAAGAACATGATAAAATCGACCAGGAATTACCTAAATATACATAGACAACAAGACAGTCGTGTAAGAATCATCACAACAGAATAGCTAGAACATTATACAGCAAATAGCACCACATACCGCTGATGCCTGATGCTCTTCTTCAATGCATAAAATCCATTTTAATAAAACATTGTTGCTTGGCTAAGTTAACAGCAAGACATGTTTAGTTTTATAGGGAAAAAAACATGGAACAATAACAATACTGAATTGTAAAACAAACCTCTGTAAACATACTATAGCAGACGAATGAATACTACCATTCATATTAAACATAACCTATTTAATACAGATTTTACCCAAACACAAGCACCATATAATAACCACTGCCTCCAAAGTAACTGTATCCATGTCAACCTGTCTACACTATAATTACATTGAGATTCCTTCCAACCTTTAGATTCTCAATCATTACAAAATATATCAGCCTTACTCAACAAAGCACAACAGGACAGCAAGAACTATTGTAGATTCTTCATACTTGCAGCCTGTTATATTAATTTTCCACACACTCGTAAACACACATAGAACTTAGATTCTTATAGGTACTCTCACTACAGAAACCAATTCACTAAGAAAACCGTAAAGCCATGGAATAAAGGGAAAAAACTTTATAAATCTGAAAAAGTTGCACACCCTTTACGGGTTTACAATATGGCATAACTAATTATACACATAAGCAATAGACAAAAAGTACAAAAAAAAAACCCTTCAGAAGAAACTCAAGCATTATATATATACTTTATAATCAGAATCAAAACTACTGCCATTATCACCATCAGAATAGTCGCCAAGATCAGGATCACTACCTAATTCAAGTAGTCCATATGATCCTGGGACACAATATACGTAGTCTTCAGTACATCAGTTAGACATTGGACCACTCTCCAACTCTTCATCACTCTTAAGGTCTTCCTCAATCCCGTCCTCTTCACCACTCTCACGGTCTTCCTCAGTCTTGTCCACTATATGAGACTACTTGTATATAGGAACAAGTACTCACAGGTGTTTGTTTTACCTTTATTTTAACCTTGTTAGCATACATTTTTCAAGTGAATTGCTTTCTGTCATTATCCAATTACATTTCTTAATACATATAAAGATATTATCTATGGAATTCTATAAAGCATACTAATTAACAGCATACTATAATAAATATACAACCACGCAAAACAGAAATTATATAATCAAATTCAACGATTCATTATACCAAAAGCAAGAGCTTAATTTCAGATAATTACAACCTACTATCATCCTTTGCTAATTAAACTGATTATGAACTTCCCAAAAACTAACTACGTATCTACATCTAACAATTCAACAAGGATACCTAAACAATGAAAATCATCAAAATACATCAGCATAATCTGATATAAAAAACTAACAACCCAAAAAACAGTCCTACCAAGCCTTCACTTCATACCCTAGCAGTAGTGCAATTGAACCCCAAAAATACACTTAACCATGAACAGTATACAATTAATCAACAATCTTCATACGAAACATTGAAGAATCTTCACTTGTCTCTAGATTTCCTTCTTCATTGTTCCCAAAAGAAGAGCCTGCACCAATGTTGTCATCATCATCCTCTTTATAACTATCACCACTTGATTCCATTTCTTCATCTAAATCAGCAACACCTTCTTTCTCAGATTCAGTTCTTGAGTTAGAATTCAGATCACTTTCAGTACTTTCATCAGTCTCTTCGTCTTCCTCACTATTATCTTCTTCTTCAACGTCCTCTTTTTTCTCCTCTGCACCAACACCCTCCTTACCTTTTTTGTCCCCTTCATCATTGTCTGAATCAACAATAATAACAGGCCATTCTCCACAACCATTTTTCTCGACGCCTCGTCTTCTCTTATTACTTTTTTCCCCTCTTTCTTTGTTGTTCTCGACCTTCAAATTTCCTTGTTCAAGCAGTTCTAGATGACGGTCCATCTTCATCTTCATTTCAATGGTATATAAACGAAAGCTTGAAACATTTTCTTTTTTAGATTTCCGGTCATTAGGCCTCCAACTTGGTGGTGAGAAAACCTTGCCGGAAGTCGCAGTACTTTCAGTGCTACCCATTACCACGAAATTGGAATTGCTATTTTAGAGAAAAGGAAAAAAAAAGGAGAAGACAGACAGAGTGCAGGAACAAAAACGCCACAAACCACGCAATATAAGGACATGAATTGACCAATCAATGTAATCATGACAGATTCTTCAAATAGTAAATAACTATGACTGTATGACTTCATCACTAAAGCTGTTCAAATCCTTACATATTCTATTGTTGTACTTGCATTTTATAACAACACAAAAATAGAAATTTCCTTTTGGTAGATATGATTATATGCACAATGTTCATACACACGTGCGTCAACCACTTCTACTATCTTTAAATTTACATTCCGATTTTTCACGACACATAACGTTTTTTTGACCAGTCTCCTAGACATACTCGATTTTATTACTACTATTAACAACTTTGAAAGCGTACAAGATATTTATTAACTCATATTTTAACAACATCACGAATATCACAACAACCAAAACACGCAACGAATATTGCTTATCTTGCCGTAAGGGGGGCACGCGCAACGCGCGTGCTCCAACGACTAGTATAATTAAAGTATGATAATAAAATAATTAATCACCATAAAACAATTTGCAAGTTTGATCTACAAATTTAATTTACACAAAATTATATAGGCCAATAGATGCAAGCAAAATATTACAATATATGTACAATATATTTACAATATATATACAAAAATAATTTAATTTAAAAATACATACCATTTTTAATTTGTAGTGGATAAATTGTGAGTTGTGAAAAAAATTTATAATATTATGATTCGATTGATAAAATTACTCTATATGTATTAATGTTTCCTTGACCAAAATTTAAAGTCTTATTATTAAATCTACATTTAGCATCATTCAATTTGCATGGTAAAACCTTTTAATGCCTCTTATTGTGTTGTAACTTTGTAAGGAATAAGATACATATAAATGTAAAAGTATATCGAGACATAAACCAAATCTTTTCCAAAGAAATATCTTTCTCTACCCAATCTTTTTGCCCTCTATATAGTTGATATTACACTTAACTCAATTTCCTTCAAAATTTTTGTGAGACCTTAATTTCATTTTAAAATTCTTTTAATTTGTATATTTTTTTCTCAATTTATGCTGAACAAAATAAATTAATAATACTTTACCTTTTACCTTTTATCAAACTCAAATCTATTACGAATTATAAAAAAATAATTATTTGGCATTACTAATAAATTGTTGAATTCGTAATTGTATTGGATGTACCTTCAAGAGTGCAGAAGACCAGGTACTCTGCTTCAAAATCAAGCTCCTCATGTACACGTCATATGTAATTATGACTATCATAAAAATATAATCTAATAATACTTTTATTACTCGAGTATATATTACCAAAGAGATAAATCTAATATAATAACTTGAGATAATTAATCAATGTAAATACTCCTCGAGTAATTAATATTTTTACTTGATTGATATACTCCATAACAAGGGAGTGAGGGATAGACATATAGGTCAAGTGGTTAGAGCTTCCCTCCCGCCCAAGAGATATATTTATTTTACAAATTAATAACTTAGCCAGATTTTTTTTAATAATTAAATATAATGTTAATTAAATAATAGTTATTAAAAGTAACCGTGCATAAAACGGGACCCAACCTAGTAAACAAAAAACTATACACATATATATCTCGTATAAAAAATTAGATAAAAAGCGGTATGTTTTCCAAGTTTTGTAGTAGTGACTGATAAGAATACTAATATATTATCCTGTAAAAAAAAGAATATTAATATATTCAACCAATAGAATAGCTTTATAACACTTATTTTATTGATATTGCAAAGCATGTATATCTTGTTTTTAGCTCCAAGGATATGTAACACCACGTATTTTTGAACCATTATTTTATGTGCATTTAAACCTAGTAAACCTAATTTCTAATTTAAATATCAATTTCTAAATTGAAATGTCGATTTCGTTATTTTAATAAAAGGGTAATCCCAAGCTTTTGAAACCCTAATTATAATATTTTGACAAAACGTTTGAAAGTTATTTAAAAGGGTTCTATATTTGAGTTTTAATCATTTCAAACTGTATTTGACTTATCTGAATTGATATTAGCTTTAAAGGGTAATTCCTTAAGTTTAAGTGTCAATTTAGATATTTAACCTATTAAAAATTGATACAGGTCATCATGGGTGATTCCTTGACTAAAGTGTCAATTCTATATGTATAAAATGATTTTAGGGTTTTTAAGACGTTTTACGTTCAATTGTATCAATATCGATAAGTAAAATGGTATTGGGTGATTCCGTCAACTCGTTTATCGAATTGATATTGTTTATAAACTATTCTTTATTTTATATTTATAAAACTCATTACAATGTCCTTTAATTATTTAGGTCATTATAAATGAGTAATATTATTGGTTTCCCATTTTGTCTTTTATGTCGCTCTTTGGTACATATGACCTATATATAAATATTTTTTTATTGTGATTTAAATTGTTATTTTCATTATTATTATTGAGATATCAATAATATAATCTATATTGTTGTTTTTGAACGCGTTTTAAATGCCATCCGTTACTTTCCTTTCCTGGTCTAATTTTGGGTCAACTAGCATTTATATATTGGTCGGGTTTTTGCTCAAAACTTCCATGACTAAATATATTAGGATAGGATTGTTTATTAGCTTTCCTAATTCCATTCTTAAGCCTACATTAATCATTCAATCAAGCCCATAAGTGTAGCTTAAGTTAGGGTTATTTGAAGCTCATTTGAAGCCCAATTTCTCTCCCTTTTCACGGCAGCCACAAGGCTTGATTACTGCTCAAATTCAATTCAAAGTAACCCCCATATTTACCCTCATTAAGCCTAATTAAACCCAGCAATTTACTGCCCAAAACCCTTTCACTTCCTCTTCTCATTTCACGTACAAAGAAGTCAGTTTTCTCCACCCAAATGATGCAGCAACTCGCTTCTCTTCTCCCCATCTTTTTCGTGGTATTCAAGGTGGGAATCAAAGGGAAATCAAAGACTAACCTGCTGCCATAATCTCTGCAAAAATCGTGCTCCATTTCCCCTACAAAAACGACATGGAAACGAAGCAAGGCACAAGGCCACTTGGGAGGGTGTTGTTCGTATTGGTTGCTGTTGTTTGTGCTTGGTAGTGCTGTCCTTTTCTTCTTGTTTTGGTGGCTTATACATCAAGGTAACTAGCCTTTCTTCCCTTAGGTTAGAAATGCTAGGTTTTAGGGTTGAATTGATCGGTAGAGATCATGTTAGGGTTAGATTGATTTGTTGATTTTCGTTCTTGATATGTATGTCAGAATCTCGTGTACAATTAAGGGATTTTGGGTGTTTGAATCATGTTTTTCATGCTTGAATTATCTTACAATCAATCCCTAATAGGTGTATGATATTTGGTTATGATTATTTTAGGTTTTGTGATGATTTTTGGGTACTTAAAATCTGATTATGTAATCATATTATGCGCGTATAAGACTGTAGTTTCTGCAGTGGTTATTAGTTGTGAATGAGCCATAAATTCAATAATTTTATTTTATATTATTGTAGAGGATTGTTTAACGATCGATTTGATATATTATGGGTAAAATTCGGAGGTGTTTAAGGCCTCCAAATGATTGATTTTGTGAGACAAGTTGTGCTGCCAACGTGAATGAGGACGTGATGTTAGATAGAGTTTATGAGCATGTAAATATCTTATATTTGTGACCAATTGAATATATCTTCTAAGTTATCATGGTAGGATTATTTAGGAGTTTATACCATAGCAAAATTCTATGTTTATATGCAAAATTCTATCTTTTTATGAGCATGTATATTCTAAACTCTTGGATTGCTGACAACATGTTTAATATATCTTCTTAGGTCTTAAATTAATTATCTTGATTGATTTTATTGCATAATTTGAATTAGCATCATGTTACGATATTCCCTAAATTGATATAGCATGATTTTATATAATTTAAGATAGTTTAAAGTGCCTAAATTAGTGCAATATAGCTGCTGCCCCTAATCTGCTAGGCGTGTGAAGGATGGTGATTTTCAATTGTGTATTCCTTGATTTCTAAGCGCAAATGCATGTTTAATATGGCCTATTGTGTTTTTAGAGTGTGTACTAAAATGGGCTAAGCTTAGTTTCATGTTTAAGGTGGGTTTTTGGGTGATTTGGTATAATTGGTACTGCTGTACATTAGTGTAGGGGCTGCTGTAAATATGATTTTATTTTGGCATGTTCTCTCTTGAATTTTAAGTCCAGAATGGTTTTATATGATGCCTAATGAGTGTATGTATATGCCCTAATTTTTATTTCGCATTTGAAGCATGTTTGGTTGGGTTTTTATGATGATTATTAGACTTTTATGTTGCTGTCCCGTTTTGGTTGTTTTATGAAATGATAGTTTGGATATTTGGTTTAATTAAATGATTTTATGTAATTTTTTTTTATTTTAAGTATTTCAATTTATTTGAAATTATATTTTAAATAGGTGATGATTGAATTTTTGGGTATTATAAACCCCTAAAGTGAAATATTTCTATGTGTGTTTGAATATGTGTGGGTTGTAATTGTATTGTCGACGTCGTAATGCTTTAGAGAAGGATAACACTGTCTTTAGCATCACTTCGCCAAGAGTTGTGAATGCACTTAATTGTTGAATTTCGATAATTAATTATATTCCCAAACTCAGACGATACCTTTTGTGTTTTATTAAGTTGAAGTGTGTTTTGAAAGGGAGTTTCAATTGAATTTAAGAAATATGATTTTCTTATACAGTTTGAATTGAGTGTAAGACCATTTTTGGCTTCTCTATAGATTTCTGAGTGAAATATATTGTATTATCTATTTTAAGTGATTTTTGAATTGTGTGTGGGGCCATAGTCGGGTGTGAGGCCGAGTTGCTTCCCGATGGTTAATGAACATGCTAACTACCTGGATTGCGAGTCTTAGGTAGCTCAACCTGGGTTAATTGTTGTCGTCCGGGGGTGTGTAATACCTTATAGGCATCTACCCATAACCGGGAGTTGGCCAATCTTAGACACGGTCTCTGCGAGATGACTGGGGGTTCGTCCTGACAAACCTTAGGAAGTGGATTGCGACGCCACTAGCGTTCCCTCCATGCCAGTTCTACTATTTTGAAGGTTTTGGTTTTGAAATGTTTAAACTAATAAATTATTACTTATTTGAAGTCTATATATTATTATGATTGAAATTGAGTGATTTAATATTGATATTTCTGTTTTAAGTTTATTTTGAAATATTTCATTGTTTGTATGGTTTGATAGTTTTAAGTGATTTCATTTGAGTTTTCAAGTTGATTGTGGTTATGGTTTCTTTCTGTTAATTTAAGTCTAAGATCTTCTATTTTTGATTTGCGGGAGAACAGCTAGTTGCTCCCCACTGATTGTGGAACGTTGTTATAATTTGCAGGTTTCATTTGTTTATTTGATATCTGTGACGCTGGGTTGGGGATTGAGAGTTTAGAACCTAACTTTTAGGCTTGTATGCCTTTGTTGTTAGTTGAGTGTTTAATTATTTTGAATTTAGTCTAGTTTGGCCGATAAGGGTTGTTCTGCCCTTGGCTTTTGAATATAATTAATTTGTCCATGTTAAAGTTTGTTTGCTATTTTCTTTTGTTCACATAGTTTGCGCTTAGCTTAAACAACTTAATTTGGATGTGTGAATTAGTTAAATTTGACTTTTAGACCTAGGTTAAGTTTGACTTTTCTAATCGAAGTTAAGTAGCCTCCCGTTCAAGCGTAATTCTGCTAACGCTTCCAGTTCCAAAAGGATGGGGTGTTACAGTTGGTATCAGAGCAAACGGTCCTAAAACTCTCTTAGAGTTTCTACAATTTCTTGAGAAATATGTAGTTGAATCAACAAACTTGAATTTGTGATGCCTTGACCATAGTGAGAGAGTTACTTGGGTAGGAAGAAAGGGTGCGTCTCTATTTGTTCAATGTTAGATAGATAGTGTGGTCTATCATGATTTGTGTATTTGTTATGATATTTAGGGATTTCTAGGTTGTTTTCACGTTTCGAGGACGAAACTTTTATAAGGAGGGGTGATTGTAACACCCCGTATTTTTGAACCATTATTTTATGAGCATTTAAACCCAGTAAACCTAATTTCTAATTTAAATATCAATTTCTAAATTGAAATGTTGATTTCGTTATTTTAATATAAGGGTAATCCCAAGCTTTTGAAACCTTAATTATAATATTTTGACAAAATGTTTGAAAGTTATTTAAAAGGGTTCTATATTTGAGTTTTAATCATTTCAAACTGTATTTGACTTATCTGAATTGATATTAGCTTTAAAGGGTGATTCCTTAAGTTTAAGTGTTAATTTAGATATTTAACCTATTAAAAATTGATACATGTCATCATGGGTGATTCCTTGACTAAAGTGTCAATTCTATATGTATAAAATGATTTTAGGGTTTTTAAGACGTTTTACGTTCAATTGTATCAATATCGATAAATAAAGTGGTATTGGGTGATTCCGTCAACTCATTTTATCGAATTGATATTGTTTATAAACTATTCTTTATTTTATATTTATAAAACTCATTACAATGTCCTTTAATTATTTAGGTCATTATAAATGAGTAATATTATTGGTTTCGCATTTTGTCTTTTGTGTCGCTCTTTGGTACATATGACCTATATATAAATATTTTTTTATTGTGATTTAAATTGTTATTTTCATTATTATTATTGAGATATCAATAATATAATCTATATTGTTGTTTTTGAACGCGTTTTAAATGCCATCCGTTACTTTCCTTTCCTGGTCTAATTTTGGGTCAACTAGCATTTATATATTGGTCGGGTTTTTGCTCAAAACTTCCATGACTAAATATATTAGGATAGGATTGTTTATTAGCTTTTCTAATTCCATTCTTAAGCCTACATTAATCATTCAATCAAGCCCATAAGTGTAGCTTAAGTTAGGGTTATTTGAAGCTCATTTGAAGCCCAATTTCTCTCCCTTTTCACGGCAGCCACAAGGCTTGATTACTGCTCAAATTCAATTCAAAGTAACCCCCATATTTACCCTCATTAAGCCTAATTAAACCCAGCAATTTACTGCCCAAAACCCTTTCACTTCCTCTTCTCATTTCACGTACAAAGAAGTCAGTTTTCTCCACCCAAAAGATGCAGCAACTCGCTTCTCTTCTCCCCATCTTTTTCGTGGTATTCAAGGTGGGAATCAAAGGGAAATCAAAGACTAACCTGCTGTCATAATCTCTGCAAAAATCGTGCTCCATTTCCCCTACAAAAACGACATGGAAACGAAGCAAGGCACAAGGCCACTTGCACTAGTGGAAAAAATCTCATTCGTAACAGGCTATTTGTAACGGGCAAAGCTTTGCCCGTTACAATTAAGATATTCGTAACGGGCAAAATAGTGTCCATTACGAATACATATGTATTTGTAACGGACAAATTAGTGCCCGTTACAAATAAATAAGTATTCGTAACGGACACTATTTTGCCCGTTACGAATACTATATTAAACATAACAGGCGTATTGTGACCGATACAAATACCCAAATGTGGCCCAACTGATGAAAGGAGCCCAATACTTGGTTTTTTAGGGTTTCACCTAAAACCAGCCGTCATTGTCCTCTTTCTCTCTCATCAGTCCCTCACTCTCTCTCCTCTCCTCTCCTCTCCTCTCTTCTCCTCCCCGTCATTCACCTCACATCCTCAGCATCATGGTAAAGGCACTTACGCTACTCGTCTTTCGAAGCTTCTCGATGTTCCTCATATTTCTACTGGTGATTTGGTTCGTGATGAGCTCGCTTCCTCTGGTTCTCACAATCCTAAGGTCAATTTCATCTTTTGGCTGATTTTTTGCATTCGAGTTATTGCAAAATTAATTGATTGTTTTTTTAATTTTGTAATTCTAATAATTTGATTTTGGGTGTATGTGTTTTTAAATAATATTTCCAGTTTTAGCTGTTGATTTGTGTTGTAGAGGTGTAAGGGTTTAGGTTGTGTTTTCTTTAAGTTCTAATTAGAGGTATTAGTTAACTGTGCTTCGTTGTGGAATGTGGAGTAGCAGGATTGTTTGATTTTGTTTTCGAATTTGTTGTATTTTTTTTAAAAAAATTGGTCGGTTCTTGTATGTTAATCTAATGGTTATGGTTCGATTATCCTTTGTATGTCTAAACGAATAATAAATAAAAAAAATATGTTCTTCAATTGAAATGAGTAATACATGCAATTAGTAATGAATTTAGTTCATCTTTGCCGATTAATACCTGATTGCAGAATTTTTTTGTAATTTTTTTTTGTTTATAGTGAGAATTAAGAAACCCGATATGGCATGTTGATTAATTCTAGAGTTCTTCGAGCTTTTTACCGAAATCGACCAATTTATCCCCAATTCGTTCATTTTTAGTACTGAGCATTGCATGACATTAATTTGCATGTCATGGTAATTACAAAAAGGTGACGACTTCCTTTGCCACTTATATACATATATATTTTTTTTGTTTTCCTTTGCAAATAGGTGGATTTGTCACACATCTTGGTGCAGAGCTCAGATTACTTGAAGTTTTTTGCCACATTATTTACAAGGTATAGCTTGTGCTATTTCAAGCCTTATCTATTGTGTTATGGCTGGTTTTTTGTTTTGAAATTAATGGTAGAAAGTACTTTTGGTTTTGTTATATATGAACGCTTGTGGAATGCAAATTGATCATCTTTACTGTTGCAGATTTTTCCATCTAGTGAAAAGATTGAAAATATAAATGACCAGTACCGAACGTTGCGTGCAGAGGAGGTAGTTTTCTTTTCTTTGTTGAAATCTTAATGCTTATCTTTCGTCATAAATTGCTATTTTAATCTTCTTTTTACCGATCACATTTGCATTTTTGAGTGTATTTGTGGTTCACATTATTGATTTTTTGGGCTTCAGACCCCTGAAGATATAAAGAACCTTGAACCTAATGATCGTTTGATCCATGTCTACCATTGTACTAAGGAGCCTGCACAGAATCAGTGGTAAGGATTTGAAAACTCGGTCGGCATACTAATATATTGGTTAGGTAGTTTTGTTTGGTCCATCATTTGTGATACTGATGATCATTGTGCAGAACTTTGGGGAACCCTTTTTCTTGGTCATTCGTGAAGGTGAAACACTAGCTGAAATTAAAGTGAGAATACAAAAGAAGTTGCGTGTTCCTGATGAAGAATTTTCCAAGGTATGTTGTCGTTCCTTTGTGCCACTAACCGGGCAATGTAAGAGGAACTATTATAGTTTACTTTCTAGTCATTTTACTCTCGACTCTTTTAGTTCCATAATTCAATAATGGTTGCCTTACAAAGTTAACTAATGGCTTTGAATTAACATCTTATGATAACACATTCTTCAATTATTGATCATTGGTCATTTTTATCCCATATTACATCTGCAGTGGAAGTTTGCTTTTTTGTCGCTGGGTCGGCCGGAGTATTTGCAGGATACTGACATTTTATCTAGCCGTTTTCAGGTTTTGAATCTTTTCTCTACTGTCCTTTTCTCTCTATCTTTAGAGGTTGACACTTTTGTAGAATAGATTAGTTGAGAGTCCTCAAAAAACTAGTTTGCTGTTCCATTTTTAACGTTGTACAGAAAGTTTGAACACCATTAAAAAAAATAAGTAGTTTGGGAAAAATTATTCCGATGATAATATTACTCACTCCCTGGGTCTCATAATAGTGCCTTTTTCCATCTGTTGTCAAAGTTTACGGACTAAAAATTTTCAATATTACGTATAATAAATGTAGTCGTGAGATATTGTTAGGTTCATCTTAATGTGAAGTGTTATAATATCAACTTTTCATGATCTTTGTTAATATGATGGTGAAAGGTATGACTTGAAGATCGCGCTAAAAGAGTTGGGTGCTATATTATAGGACAGAGGGAGCAATAACCAATGTACTATATCAACTCACAAAATGATAAAAACAAACTTTACCTTTTAAGCTTCACTCCAGCACTCCTTGCATCGCCACAGCTTTTTTAGTTGTTTTCCTTTGAGCATTGCATGACATGAATTTGCATGTACTTGATTCATCTATCTTTTTTATAATATATTGTTGTAGCTCTAATCTAGCAAACTGCTGTGAGTAATGTCTAATGTTATTCCCACCTGTTAAAATCTTACTACAATAAAAATGGCTAAATAGATTTAAAGTAAAGAAAAAGAAAGGTCCTTGTGCTGATCTGTAAGATTGAAAGCTTGTACTGCAGTAGTAATTCAGTAAGTAGCTGCATTCTTAGATTTTGAGGTCCAATACATGGCCACTCTCTTCCTGGGGCGAGGTTCATAGTTGGTATAGAAGCTGTATTCTGCATTGGAATTTCAAGTGCTGCAACTGCTTACTAGGCATCATGAATGAGCTGAATTGTTTCAATGTCTGTGAGTAGGCTATACGTCTTTCTGGTGACTGCTTCGGGGGGGGGGGGGGGTACTGTTATGGACTGACTTAGGATTTTCTAATTTAAGGACTAATTAAGATATAAAAGCTTGATAATTTAGATTAATAGTGGCAGAATGTGGGTACAAAAGGATAGATTAATAGCTTAAGGCTATCACTCTCTTGATAACTTTAGGTTATCACTCTCCTAGTAACTTGAGGTTACTACTCTCAACATTTTTCCTCATAATTCACATCATAGCTAATGCGTACACTATCCCTTATTTATACTAAGGCTTAGTTAGGAATAAGGGCTACTAACCTAAAAGTACTAAAATTCCCAAACTACCCCTGTTAATGTTAGTCTATTACATTACCGGCCCCCTAAACTTCCACCTTGTCCTCAAGGTGGATAATAATCGGCACTTGATTCTCGGCGACAACAATGATCTGTCAAGGTTGATGAAGGATGTGAAATTTGGCTTGAATGTATAAGGTTATAAGAGTTGGGTTTCATAGCTGATGTTGGATGGATAGGCCTAGAGTTAACAAGCCCAAAAACATGAAGGGTAAGTGGGCCCAATAATTTGCATTGCTTCATCAAATTGAATTGGGTTAGCCTGTAGCTCTTTTCTGTCCATATATGCACGTAGCACTAGCTGCCCATTGACCAATTTGCCCTTACTAACCCCATCTTGTATAATTGGCTTCCTCCCCAAGGCATTGAAAATTTCAGTCAACCCTCTGCCAAAAGCATTTCTGAAGCTGCTCTTTTTGCATACTTCAAGAGGCCACCAATCACCCATTCCTCTTGAATCCTTTCTCTTGCTCCACTTCCGGTCAAACCCCCACCGCCGGTAAAACCACCCGCGAATTCTCCACGTTTTTTGCTGCGTGTAGCCACCATGACCAACACCGCATCTGCCATGGAAGTTCCTGCGCCATTCCCCACCTTTTTCTCCGGCGAGCCACCCATGTCCACCACCACACCAGCCACACAGACCACCAGATTTTTCGCCTCCACTGTGACCCCCCTCAAATTCGTTGCAAACACCACCAGCAAGACCACGGAACCCACCAAATATCCACCACTCATTCATCCCACCACCTGCAAAGTACCCCAGTCCACTTTCAAACAAGCCACCTCCGACCAAGAGACCACCACCAGTAAACCCATCGGAAAAATCGCCACTCTTTACCCTTTCTTTACCTTGCGGCTCATTGTTCAAATTTGTATGGCCACCAGCAATCCCTTGTTCACACGCCCGACACCAACATCCCGGGCCACCACCTGACCCACTTGCGGCTGACCCGCCTTTCACGAAGTCAGCTCCGTCTCTGTTCAGGCCACCACTAGCGGCGGTCTCATTATCACTCTCAACTTTTCCGGTTAACGCTCCTGAACTACCGCCAGATCCACTACTATTGGCGCCACCCTTCTAAAAAAATCCTCCTATTCCATTGCCTACAAACACCTCAACTTCAGCCCTTTGCACGGTACTAAAATCCACCCAAACTGCACGAGCTTCGCCGCCAAATTCGCTGTTGACTCCACCCGTACCTCCACCGGAAAACCCATCACCGAAATCACCAATCCTTCCACCAGATATATGTTTTCCCGCAAAGCTCTCAAATCCGCAACCCAATTCGCCGTCAAAGTTTCCTGAACAACCATGTCTCCCATCCCGGCCTGCCTCGCATACAACTCCAGTTGGGTTGAGTGTGAAACCCTCTGGTAAAGTGCTCACCCCACTGCCAGATCCACACGCCACCGGGTCTTGCACTTCTTGACTCTTCAGGTGTACTACCTCGCTGCTGAACCAGGGACCACAACAGTAATCAGATTGTGTCGTCGTTGAACGGAACTGGCGGACCAACTGAACCTTCAATATCTGCCACCCATTGAATGGTAGCCACCTGTGTTCACATTCGAACCACTGTAACGCTTCGCCGCAAAGCCCGATGATGGCAACCTTGAGCTTCTCCTTTTCATTCAACTGGAAAAAATGAAAGTAATCCTCCATTTGGAAGATCCAGTCATCTGAGTTTCTTCCATTAAATTCGTGAATTTGAAGCTCCTGCCGGATTCTCTTCTCCTCGGGATCTGAAATTCCTTGCTCCCTTTTAAGGGAAATGTATTTAAATTCCTCATGAATCCATTTCTTCATGAGTCGTTCGCCATCTGTTCCCGCAAACTGCATTTTTTTTTAATTTTATTTTTAAAAAGCGGTGGTATGGACTGGTGGTTCCAGTCAACGGCAGCCCACAAGACCGCCTGCTCTGATACCAATTTGTTATGGACTGACTTAGGATTTTCTAATTTAAGGACTAATTAAGATATAAAAGCTTGATAATTTAGATTAATAGTGGCAGAATGTGGGTACAAAAGGATAGATTAATAGCTTAAGGCTATCACTCTCTTGATAACTTTAGGTTATCACTCTCCTAGTAACTTGAGGTTACTACTCTCAACATTTTTCCTCATAATTCACATCATAGCTAATGCATACACTATCCCTTATTTATACTAAGGCTTAGTTAGGAATAAGGGCTACTAACCTAAAAGTACTAAAATTCCCAAACTACCCTTGTTAATGTTAGTCTATTACAGGTACTTTCGATATGCAAGAGTTGATAAACTGACAAGAGTTATTCATTTTGAAGAGGATAGGTTGGCTTTAGAGTATATTTTTATCTTTCAGATTCATAGTAAACGGAATATAATCACACTCGGTCTCTATCGATTGCTTGGTTCTAATCACAAATGTATACTTGAGAATTGCACATCCACTCACATAATTAAATCAGAAGGTTATCATGTATTCATGTTGTACACTTTCAGCCAGTTCTTGGTAACCTAATCACATTTACTGGCAGCCTGGCAGGTCATAAAAATTGCGGACAGCGGAGCTGATATTGTTGGAATAACAGTGCACGAATGGCAATTGATATGGAGGGGGATATAATCAAGCACAACACCATTTCAGATTGCGCCAAGAATGCCTACGAAATTGATGTGGTGGAGAGCTGCATCTAGGCTACAGGCTTTGAGGAACCTTCCTCTCACTTTATGTAATCGTATTTATGGAACTCAAGTAGAGCATGCGGTTTTCCTGTTGGAGCAGTTTCTATAACTCCCTGAACTTGTTGATTTGATTAATTAAGTAATATGAATTCCCCTTTTCCTTTAAAAAAAAAAAATTATTACCAGCATACCAGGTAGCAGGTATCCCCTGCTACATTTTTTTTTAAATTTGGCTTCAATTGTATTCGTAACGGGCATTTTAACTGTCCGTTACGAATAACGGGTTATTCGTAAAGGGAATTTTAACTGCCCGTTACGAATAACCCGTTATTCATGACGGGCAGCGTCCGTTACAAATAATGTAGCTTATCCGTAACGGCAGCATTCGTAACGCCCCTTTCCCGTTACAGATGGGCTGCTTTTGCCCGTTACGGAAAGCTATTTTTCCACTAGTGTTGGGAGGGTGTTGTTCGTATTGGTTGCTGCTGTTTGTGCTTGGTAGTGCTGTCCTTTTTTTCTTGTTTTGGTTGCTTATACATCAAGGTAACTAGCCTTTCTTCCCTTAGGTTAGAAATGCTAGGTTTTAGGGTTGAATTGATAGGTAGAAATCATGGTAGGGTTAGATTGATTTGTTGATTTTCGTTCTTGATATGTATGTCAGAATCTCGTGTACAATTAAGGGATTTTGGGTGTTTGAATCATGTTTTTCATGCTTGAATTATCTTACAATCAATCCCTAATAGGTGTATGATATTTGGTTATGATTATATTAGGTTTTGTGATGATTTTTGGGTACTTAAAATCTGATTATGTAATCATATTATGCGCGTATAAGACTGTAGTTTCTGCAGTGGTTATTGGTTGTGAATGAGCCATGAATTCAATAATTTTATTTTATATTATTGTAGAGGATTGTTTAACGATCGATTTGATATATTATGGGTAAAATTCGGAGGTGTTTAAGGCCTCCAAATGATTGATTTTGTGAGACAAGTTGTGCTGCTAACGTGAATGAGGACGTGATGTTAGATAGAGTTTATGAGCATGTAAATATCTTATATTTGTGACCAATTGAATATATCTTCTAAGTTATCATGGTAGGATTATTTAGGAGTTTATACCATAGCAAAATTCTATGTTTATATGCAAAATTCTCTTTTTAAGAGCATGTATATTCTAAACTCTTGGATTGCTGACAGCATGTTTAATATATCTTCTTAGGTCTTAAATTAATTATCTTGATTGATTTTATTGCCTAATTTGAATTAGCATCATGTAAGGATATTCCCTAAATTGATATAGCATGATTTTATATAATTTAAGATAGTTTAAAGTGCCTAAATTAGTGCAATATAGCTGCTGCCCCTAATCTGCTAGGCGTGTGAAGGATGGTGATTTTCAATTGTGTATTCCTTGATTTCTAAGCGCAAATGCATGTTTAATATGGCCTATTGTGTTTTTAGAGTGTGTACTAAAATGGGCTAAGCTTAGTTTCATGTTTAAGGTGGGTTTTTGGGTGATTTGGTATAATTGGTACTGCTGTACATTAGTGTAGGGGCTGCTGTAAATATGATTTTATTTTGGCATGTTCTCTCTTGAATTTTAAGTCCAGAATGGTTTTATATGATGCCTAATGAGTGTATGTATATGCCCTAATTTTTATTTCGCATTTGAAGCATGTTTGGTTGGGTTTTTATGATGATTATTAGACTTGTATGTTGCTGTCCCGTTTTGGTTGTTTTATGAAATGATAGTTTGGATATTTGGTTTAATTAAATGATTTTATGTAATTTTTTTTTATTGTAAGTATTTCAATTTATTTGAAATTATATTTTAAATAGGTGATGATTGAATTTTTGGGTATTATAAACCCCTAAAGTAAAATATTTCTATGTGTGTTTGAATATGTGTGGGTTGTAATTGTATTGTCGACGTCGTAATGCTTTAGAGAAGGATAACACTGTCTTTAGCATCACTTCGCCAAGAGTTGTGAATGCACTTAATTGTTGAATTTCGATAATTAATTATATTCCCAAACTCAGACGATACCTTTTGTGTTTTATTAAGTTGAAGTGTGTTTTGAAAGGGAGTTTCAATTGAATTTAAGAAATATGATTTTCTTATACAGTTTGAATTGAGTGTAAGACCATTTTTGGCTTCTCTGTAGATTTCTGAGTGAAATATATTGTATTATCTATTCTAAGTGATTTTTGAATTGTGTGTGGGGCCATAGTCGGGTGTGAGGCCGAGTTGCTTCTCGATGGTTAATGAACATGCTAACTACCTGGATTGCGAGTCTTAGGTAGCTCAACCTGGGTTAATTGTTGTCGTCCGGGGGTGTGTAATACCTTATAGGCATCTACCCATAACCGGGAGTTGGCCAATCTTAGACACGGTCTCTGCGAGATGACCGGGGGTTCGTCCTGACAAACCTTAGGAAGTGGATTGCGACGCCACTAGCGTTCCCTCCATGCCAGTTCTACTATTTTGAAGGTTTTGGTTTTGAAATGTTTAAACTAATAAATTATTACTTATTTGAAGTCTATATATTATTATGATTGAAATTGAGTGATTTAATATTGATATTTCTGTTTTAAGTTTATTTTGAAATATTTCATTGTTTGTATGGTTTGATAGTTTTAAGTGATTTCATTTGAGTTTTCAAGTTGATTGTGGTTATGGTTTCTTTCTGTTAATTTAAGTCTAAGATCTTCTATTTTTGATTTGAGGGAGAACAGCTAGTTGCTCCCCACTGATTGTGGAACGTTGTTATAATTTGCAGGTTTCATTTGTTTATTTGATATCTGTGACGCTGGTTTGGGGATTGAGAGTTTAGAACCTAACTTTTAGGCTTGTACGCCTTTGTTGTTAGTTGAGTGTTTAATTATTTTGAATTTTGTCTAGTTTGGCCGATAAGGGTTGTTCTGCCCTTGGCTTTTGAATGTAATTAATTTGTCCATGTTAAAGTTTGTTTGCTATTTTCAATTCTTTTGTTCACATAGTTTGCGCTTAGCTTAAACAACTTAATTTGGATGTGTGAATAAGTTAAATTTGACTTTTAGACCTAGGTTAAGTTTGACTTTTCTAATCGAAGTTAAGTAGCCTCCCGTTCAAGCGTAATTCCGCTAACGCTTCCAGTTCCAAAAGGACGGGGTGTTACAGGATATGTATCCTAATTCCTAGCCTTTTGTTGTAACTGATTACATAATTCTAAATGCATAACTTAGCTTGTCTTTAGCTACAATCTAATTTTTGGGCTCAGGCGATGCCCCAGATTATTACATAGAATTGATCATTAAATTAATATAAGTTGTACTTTATGTTTCAATTTTTATTTTTTATTTTTTATTTTTTTTTATTTTTTTGTAATTAAATCCATTATTCATATTGTCATCTACTACACATTAATAAATTGTATTTAAAAGAGTGCATAAAAAATCACATAGGTGGGTGGTAACTAGTAAAACACTTACACTGTGTTTGGATAAAAAAGAGGAAGGAAAAGAAGTTGAGGGAGGAGGGAGGGGAGGGAAGAATGTTGAATTTTCCTTCCAAATATCTCAATTGTTGGAGGGATCAATTTCCTACAATTTAATCCTTTCATTTCTCTCCCCTCCAATTCCCTTCCTTCCTAATTTGTTATCCAAATGAAAGATACTCCATCTCTCGATTTCCCTTCCCTTCCTATCCCTCCATTTTCTTCAATCCAAACACACCCTTAGTTTTAGAATTAGAGGTTGTGGATTCAAATCTACTTAAGAATATATATATATATATATATATATTTCTTATTATTATGATGATGATGATGAGTGCATAACATGCAATGAAAAACAAATGAAAAGACTACCATGTGACGAATACCTTTTAATATATTAGTATAATTACCTATCGATTCTATGTCAATAATACAAGTTCTCATAACCATATCTCTAATCAATACTATTATTTTAAAACAAGAAGTTAGAGGGACACTTGTACTCTTCCTATTTTTCATGTTTTATCATATTTTCTTTAATTGAAAAATAAATACATAAAAACCTCAGATCTTTTATCAAAATGGCTATTTTGACAAAAGTATTTACCAAAACGACTAATTATAAAATTTAATTCCCAAACTAGCTAAATTTATTGATTTGAAAGGATACTATTTATTATTTATATTCCTTTGAAACCGTTTGGTTCACTTTATGGGTTTTTTTTTTGGTTTTATTTAAAAAGATTTAGTTTTTTATTTTTAATTTTGGTTTTATTTAAATTCTAATTCCATAGTTTAAATTATCCCATTAATTTGAACAATAACAATCAACATAATATATATGCAGCAATTCTCAATTTTTAAAAAAGTTACACAACATAAACAACCACTCAAAAAAAAAAAAAAATCCAAACTTCTAATTAACAAAAGAAATAAAAAATACAACTATTTTTTTTAACACACAAAGATAGAAATAAATATATGTGAGTTTGATTCATCATACACATTAAACAAAAAAATATTCATACTAGCCGACATAAACAAAGAGTATACAATTAATTTAATAGACATGAAAAAGATGAACAATACCCTAAAATCCCTTATTATCGTATAAATTTACGGTGATCTTGATAGAACAATAAGACTTGAAATTCCAAATTTTTGTAACTATATGATCAAGATGAAAAATTAGGGCTTTTAATTTTTTTAATCAAAATTAGGGATCTGCAAGTCTGCGACTATTTACGTTCTTTGTAGTTTTGTATACTGCTTTAATTTTCCAACTTAAAAAAATCTTTACGGAAATAAATATAAACCAAAAAAAAAAAGTGAACCAAACTGGTTAAAAGGAAATAAGAAATAGATTAATTCCTTTCAAGTTAATAAATTAGCTAGTTTGGGAATTAATTTTTATAATTAGCCGTTTTGGTAAATACTTTTGTCAAACTAGCCGTTTTGGTAAAAGATCCAAAAAACCTCTTCCAGCCCATCCCTTAAACATGCCTATTCAAGAAAAAAAAAACCAAGGATATTAAAACAAAAATTAAATCTTAGGTGAAAAGACACAAATAAAATTGGTCAATTCTAAGGAGATTTAAAACATCTGTGAGGGTTTTCTTTATTTAATACAAATAAACAGCACATGACTAGTTCTTATAAATAAGTAAATAGCCAAT